TGCATTTGTCCATTGGTATAATATAAATACAAGAGAATGAGCTTCCTGCAGAGAACAGCACCCACCCTTGGCAAGAAACTAGTTTGGAGAGAGAGAATAGGTTGGTGACTGTAACAGGGTCCTGACTGAAACCCTGTTACTGGAGAGGTTTTGGCAGCTGGAGGTGATTATGACCCGGCGGGGGAAGAGACACCCCATGCCCACTGGGAACCAATGGGACTCGGCACCAGGGAATATGAGGAGGGAAGAGGCCTGAGGAAGGTGCCTTCAGGCACCATGAGAGATGGAGATGCCGTTAAGGACCCTTGCTGAGGAGGATCAGGAGGGAGGATCCCAGGTGACAAGGCCAATGTGGGCCAAGCAATGACTGAACCCCGGGACTGGTAACCCCTCCTCACTACATACTCGAAGTCCACAGCAGCAGTGGTAATTTGGAGGGGAACGGAGCCACAGCAGGGGGAAAAGCCGCGGCTCCGCGCCAGGACACGGTGGAAGTAACCTGGGAGCCAGTAGGGGGTGGAGGCCACCTGCCCAGCCCTGAACAGACAGGGACCCAGCATCCCGAACCTGAAGATAAAAGGGAAGTGGGGCTAGGAGACAGAAACTCATGGATCTGCACGCTGGCACCGAGCCCGGCAGGGGAAGCGGGAGTCACCCATAACAAGCTGCTAACGAGATAATTAGTGGCGGGGAATTGATGCTGCGCTACACTTACTGGCCTGATTAAGTTGACAGGGATCCTTTTTGGAGTGCAGGGGTGATCCCAGAGACGACTCCAACAGACTGCTGCCCCTCTGGGTGCCTGTAAGAGAGAGAGAGCAATAAAGCACCTATATATTTAAGTTCGATAAAGCATGGTCCTTCCGAGGGTACTAACCAGGGTAACATCTCTTCCCTCCTTATTTTTTTAATAAGATCGAAGTCGTGGCAGGCGAGAACCAAGGGATTTAGGCGGTACCCTGTGCGGACATGCTGACAGTGACAAAAGCAAGATACTTAAGCACATGCCTAACTTCAGGTACATATATTATTCTATGGACCATAGGCGATGTGTAGGAGAGGCACAGGGGGCACATGCCCTCCTTGAGATTGGCCCCCACCGAAGCTGCTGCTGGCTTCTGCAGGTGGTCGCCGCTCACACCTGCCCCCTGCTCATTATTGATGCAGCTGGCAGCATCTGCAGGCAGTGCCCGCTTGCTACTAGCCGCCCCCCACCACAGACACCGCCACCAGTGGCTACAAGCGATCTCTGCTTGCTGCTGCCAACATTGGTGGCTGCGGGCAGTCCCCGCTCACCGCCACTTATGTCAGCGGCTGCAGGTGGTCCCCGCTTGCCACCATAGTGCCTGCCTTTCTCGGGAGGCACCAGTCGTTCATGCTATGGACTTCAGCAAGACTCATCAAATGCTTAAAGTGAAACGTCCTTAAGGAGCTTGCTGGATCCTGTCCCTTTCTAACTGCCTTCCAGAGGTTTAGCTGATGGTTTTACATTTATGTTCAGTATCAGCCCTCCATGCCAGTCAGCCTGTGATTTTTTAGGTGTCTTTTGCCAATTCTCCGTATTATTTTAATTGCCTTAAATTGCACATTTCACATTTACTTTCCCACCAAGGCTCCCAGTTTTTTTTTAGGTCTCTTGGGCTGGAGTCTTCCTCCTCTTTGGTGTTCACTACAAGGATACAGCTTTTGCTACATGTCTGCTGTTTCTGGGCACTGATGTAAGTGAGACTTGGTCCAAGCCTACTTGTATAAAATACTGCAGTGTTGCTTCCACCTTCCTTAGAAAATAGACAGCAAGAGCTGTGTCACTGCACACCCCGCTGGGGTCCAAGCCTACTTGTATAAAATACTGCAGTTTTGCTTCCACCTTCCTTGGAAAATAGACAGCAAGAGCTGTGTCGCGGCACACCCCGCTGGCCCACTCCTAGATAAGGGAAAACTGCTGGGGAAAAGCCCTATCAGTGATAATGAGTACAGCTGTGGGTTGCCAGGGCAACTAGTAAGAGTCAGCTGCCTGTAGGGGGCAGGGCCTGGCTCCTATAAAGCCTAGAGTCAAGGCCAGGCTAGCAGTTCCCTGCTAGCAGCCAGAGGGGCAGGAGCAGGAGCAGGAGCTGGAGCTCCTGCAGTTAGGATGGGAGGAAAAGCCTAACAGCAAGTATAGCTCGTGAGAGCTCCAGAGGCTGGAGCAATGATGTTAAATTACAGCCAGGAGGCTTATGTTGTTAGGGCCCAGTGCCTTGGGTTTTGGTTATAGCCAGGGGGCTCGAGTTTATGTTTGTGTTCTAGTGTATTACACCGGTGGTTTGGGTGAGGCTATAGGGGTTGGTGGGGGCCCTAGCGCCAGTAAGGGCGCAACTTGTGGGGTGTGTAGACCCCAGCCTGGAAAGGGGCATTTAAAGAGCCCAGTGTGGGCACAACAAGTCCCAGAGAGAGGGGCAATTTTATTAGGGAGCCCAGCGTGGGCACAGTGAGCCCCAAAGAGGGGGCGGCACTATTAAGAAGCCCAAGGTGGGCACAACGAGCCCGAGAGGGGCAATATGTGAGGAGCCCGAGAGGGGCAATATGTGAGGAGCCCAGGAGGGGCAGGACAAGCCCGGTAATGCTAGCGCTGCAGAAAACCCAAGAGAAGGGCAGGGTGCTGCGGTGGACCCCAGGAAAAGGGGTTAGCAGCATGGTGCGCCCAAGAGAAGGGTAGGGTGCTGCGGTGGTCCCCCGGGAAAGGGGATAGCAGCACAGCGTCCCGGAAAAAGGAGAAGCAGCGCGGTGGGCCTGAAAGACCAGAGGCTCGATATAGAGTCCCAAAGTGAACAAGGGTCCCTGAGTGGGACAACACTTTTAGGGGAGGCTCCAGAGAAGGGGGCAGCATTTTAAGCCAAGGGGGGGCCGGGCGAGCCCCGAAGAGGGGAGCGCCTTATGAGAGAAGGCCCCAGCGAAGGGGGCAGTGTACATATAGCGAGACAAACCAACGTCTATCCCATCAGCGAGGCTTGGGGCGTGGTATTAGGGGTTGGTAGGAGCCACGCGTAGCCCATAAGGCTAGGGTGTCTGGGGAGCACCCATCATACCGGGAGACCCCCAGGGGGTCTGGGAACACACGGGGCCAGCCATCATACCGGGAGACCCCCAGGGGGTCTGGGCACACACGGGGCCAGCGGTCCCAGCTATCCATGCCCAGGGAGTCATAAGGCAGCCTCCCAACATATACTAAACAGCAAAGACGTGGCAGGCGAGAATCGAGGGTGCCCTTGGGCCGAATTGGCACGGAGAGAGGGCCTTAAGGAGATCATGGCCCTCCTATAGGACCCCGCTGTGACAAGCTGTAACTATTTATATCATAGCAACATGTAGAGGCTCCAGACCATCTATTTCTTCCCTGCTTCAGCAATGTAGAGCAACATATTTTCCTGAATTTCATCATCAAATCAATCACAAAAGACAAAAAGGGCCACTGGGTGCCTACACGTGCTATAGGAAATTGTACTGTTCCTTTTTTCTAATAATTTCTTAATCAGTTGGTTAAGATGCAGAAATATGTCTGTTTTAATTCTGCAATGTTGCCTGGAAATAAAATCACAAAGCATTGGGATTGTTCAGTTGTTCCTAACTGAGGGAGTTCAGTAAATGAACTGTGACAGTACAAACTGCCCATTTCCCCCAGTAGGGA